TAAACAATGTAAATTTATACTTTTTGTCATAGTTCGTTTGAGCGTTCTACCGGGCCGATTTCCATGATTTTTGCGTAAATCGACAGGTAATAGGCCCTAGATGAGCCCGCTCTAATCAGATTTTGGAAAAAGGACCCAGGTTTTTTTAAAATCACGTTATGAAAGTGAGTGAGTTTACAGAATGCTCCGGTGCTGCTACCGCTATGCGCGGGAGAATGCGCAGTGGTCGAGGAGGTTGCGCAGTAGCTGTGTAGCCTGCGCATCAGCTCTACACTTATCTGCACAAGATTCGCACCGTGATACTCCTGTATACCGGTGGCCGAGTCGTCTAGGACGTCGTGTGCGTTCTTAATGAATTCAATGTAGGATCGATACCCGACTCATGAATCTTAATTATTACCTGACTATCATTGTTCATTGTTTTACTGCAATATTTCATCAATCAGTCATTCCAAAACGCGTCCTTTTAATTTTAAAGTAATTTTAAGTAAAGTTTAAAATTAAAGTATACCTCATATCGTAATTTTTTTAGGGGAAAAATAAAACTGACACTGATAGGAGGGTAAAAATAGGGCGGCGAAGCGGCCCATTGATGGCGCAGAGCGCCTTCAGGGGGTTGGGCCGCGTAGCGGCCAGGGGGCGTAGCCCCCTAGTAGAATCTATTGGAAATCTTACAGCCGGCTGTAGGTCTATGGTATTTTGGAACACAGATTCTACTGCCAATTTTTACCAGGGTGCTGTTGCGTATACCTGCCGTTTTGATTTAAATTTGTCACGACCGTCATACCGCATAGGCTATTTTGTGCGTAAAAAGAGGGACAAAATTCCTGATAAGAAAGGTACCCGTATCATTTTTTCACGTCTGATAGTGTACTGGAATAGGAAAACAAACCGTCGATCTCGATTCCAAAATAATCAACTTGAATTTTTAGTTTTTTGGAGGTCAAATTGGACGCAGTTTTTGTAGAATTGCCCAACTGCGTGTTAACGCAAATAGGGCTAAAAACGTAGAAGAATTCCCTCAGCTATTGGACATGTCCATTTAGGTAAACTATGTTCTCACCTGAGAAAGTGGCGGGACAATTTTCTGAGCAAAGCACTTCTAAGTAAACGTCGATCAAGTCTCGTGGTTCACCAACTTTGAAAGTGGCCTTGTGTCTGTCTAGTTCGGCCTGTAATACCAACACCGAAAAATATGTAATTATTTTTCCTAAACACTATTTAATTTTAAACGAAGTGGTTATTCGACGGTACGGTATATGTATACATGCTGCAGGTAACATCGCAATGCACCGTAAATGCACTTAAGTAATTCAGTGCTTCGATGTTCACGTAAACTATAACTATTCTCCGCACGCGCTTCATTTATGCAGAGTAATGCACTTAAAAACTTATGAATATTGTTATTACATGTCTGTTGTCACCCCTAAAAGTATACTTGAATTTAAGAGGGAGGGGGCAACCTTACCCATCCCTACCCCTTGCCCCTCCTTCCGGTAGCCAAAATAATTATAGTATTTTCCGATTTGCTTCTTTTAAAGTTTTGCACTTACAAGGTTTATGTTTAAATTTCGTAAAATAAAAGGAAGTTCTAAAATTTATTATTGTTATTTATTAAATACTTTTAAATTCTTTTTAAATTTTTCGACAAGTTAGAGCAAATTTTGGATATTACAGTGAATTATAAGGTAATTGCGGGATGAAATTTCTTGTGAAGTTTTTAATGGTTTACCTGAGGTTTTGCTGTAATTGTTGTGGCTGAGATGTGGTCACGGAGGCAATATACTGCCTAAGAACTTTCAAAGCACCATGCGTTATTTTCTTGTGATACGGTGAATATGTGAAGGCGTTACCTTTTGTCCCGCGTTTACCTTATAATTCACCGTAATATCTAAAATTTGCTCTAACTTGTTGACTTTAAAATAATGTAGAAATACTCGATCAATAACAACAATAAATTTTAGACTTTTATTTTGTGTTCACGAAATTAAAAAAAATGAACCTTATAAGTGGAAAACTTTGAAAGAAACAAATCGGAAAGTACTAATTTTTATGGCTAACGGAGGGAGGGAGAGGGGGCAGGGGTAAGTAAGGTTGCCACTTTTCTCTCAAATGCAAGGATACTCTTAGAGGTAATAATGCTTCTTCAATGTAACTTCCTCAAAATCTCAACAAATATATAAAAAATGTGTTTATAATGAGAGGCTCCTAGATCTGAGGAGACTGGGCAGAAGAGGGGGAGAATTAGAGGGGAAGGGGAGCAATTTATGGGTGGAAAGAGAATTTGGGGCCTTTGGTTATAGAGGACGAAGTATGAAATTCATAGCATCTTCAAAAACAGAGAAATAAGCATCGCAGCCATCAAATAACCATATATCCTGAATACGCGCCTCGCACGCCCGGGTTAGGCATTCGTGTAGGTAAAAACGGTTAGCCCCCTGAGGGTTAAGAACGACCGACAACACACTTTAATGACTCCTTTTAATGTGAATGAGGATCTTAAGGGTTAGTACGTATTGAACACTAGTTTGGCGAAACAGGAATTACGGATAGAGCTCATGAAATACGTTAAAGTAACCACATACCCTAAAAAATTTCCAAAAATCATGGTGGATATCGATGAAGCGCTTGTAGCCAGATTTCTCAGGGGCAAGCCAGCGGAGGAAGGGGAACTGGTTGAAGATGGATCCTATGACGTTGTAACTAGTCACTATCTCTTTAAGAAGTTCTAGGAGGTGCTTCATCTCCTTGTCCTCCGGAGCGTGGCGGATTCCAGCGATGATGTACCAAGTTGCGTTCAACGCAGGGACAATGCATATGTTCTTCATCGGAATAACGGCTGACCTACCGCCCCCTTTGGCAACGGCCTTGCGGAAAATCGTCAGTAGCAGAAGCGCCTCTTTTTCCATCACGTCAGACATTGTTCTCCTCCCGAAGCCAAATTTTCGAAGAGCCTGCACTACGAACCGCTTCTGCTCCGTCCAGAATGGTCCATCCACCAAGGCTAGTCCTGTCGTGATTCACAAGGGGGGGGGGGG